GGGGACCCCCCGGGGGACCCCCCCGGGCTGGGGGGGGCCTCGGGGGGGGCCCCTGGGGGGGCCCCCTGGGAGAGGCGCCAAGGGGGGCCCCCAGGGGGGGGGCCCTCGGGAGGGGCGAGGGGCCCCCAGCAAAGCGGAAACGGGGGGGCCCCCAAGGCCGGGGGGGCCCCACAAAGTGAACCCTTGAGCCTCCTTGACCTGGAGCTTGCAGATACCCCCAGCCAGGGGCCCCCCACGGCTCTTGCAGGGACAGCTGCGGGGGCTGGGGGGGCCCCCAGTTCTCCTGCTGCTGCTGCTGCTGCTGCTGCTGCTGCTGCAGCGGGGGCCCCCCAGCTGGTGCTGCTGGGGGCCCCCAGGCTGCCATCGCCGCCGCCGCCGCCGCCTGCAGCGCCGCGACCAGCAGCAGCAGCTGCAGCAGGGCTGGCGTCTGCTTCTGAAGCTGCGCCTGCTGCAGCAGCAGCAGCAGCAGCAGCTGCTGCTGCTGCTGCTGCTGTGAGGTCCGGGGGCCCCTCCCCACCCCCAACTGAAGACCCTTGGGCTGTCTTCAGCAGCCTTTCTTCTCTTGAGGGACTTTCTGGAAATTCTTCTGTCTCCGGCGGCTCCCTCTCTCCCCCCAGAATACCCCACAGCAGCAGCAGCAGCAGCAGCAGCAGCAGCAGCAGCAGCAGCAGCAGGGGCAGCGGGCCTTTGGGGGCCCCCGCTGGGGTTTCGACGGGGCCCTTCATGTCCCCCTCTCATTTGCAGACGCAGCTGGCGCAGTGGGCCCCAGCAAACACTGCAGCAGCAGCAGCAGCACCAGCAGCAGCAGCAGCAGCAGCAGCAGCAGCAGCAGCAGCGCCTCAAGTGACCCTAGCGGGCATCGCTGGCAGGGCCTCGTCTCCGGGGGGCCCCCAGGGACTGCAGCAGCAAACAGCAGCAGGACCCTACAGGGCCTTGGGGGCCCCCGAGGGGCCCCCAGAGTCCTCTCCGTGGCAGTCCTTTTCATTTGGGGACTTTGTGGCAGCAAGTAGTCCACGGGGGCCCCCCCAGCAGCAGCAGGGGCCCCCCCCGCAGCAGCAGGGGCCCCCAGGACCCCAGGGCCCCCCGGGGCCCCAGGGGCCCCAGGGGCCCTCGGGGTCCCCGGGATCCCTGGGGGCCCCCGGGGCCCTGGGGGCCCCCGGGCCCCTGGGGGCCCCAGGGGCCCTGGGGGCCCCCGGGGCCCTGGGGGCCCCCGGGGCCCTGGGGGCCCTGGGGGCCCCCCGGCCTGGGGGCCCAGTACCCTGGGGGGGCCCCCCACCTTTTGGGAATCGCCTGGCGCTCATGGGGCCCCCCGCGCCCCGCAGTTTAGAAGAAGATCCATTTGCGGATTGTGGGCCCGTGCCCCAGCAGCAGCAGCAGCAGCAGCAGCAACTGCAGCAGCAGCAGCAGCAGCGGCAGCAGCAGCAGCAGCAGCAGCCGGGCGTGCACGCGTTTGCAGCAACAGTGGGGCAGGGGCTGCCTGCTGCAGCTGCTAGTGGCGGTGATCCCCGTCAGCAGCAGCAGCAGCAGCAGCAGCAGCAGCAGCAGCAGCAGCAGCTAGAGAGCAGCAGGACTCCAATGTCTTCTGCTTCTCAGAGCCCCTTGAGTACCCTTTCAGCAGGGGGGGCCCCCGCTGCTGCTGGGGGGCCCCCCGCTGCTGCTGCAGCGTGGCCCGACGTGGAGACCCGAACTGCAGCAGCAGCAGCAAAAGGGGAGGGGGGCCCCCCAGTACCCAACGGCCTCCAGGGGCCCCAGCCCAGCAGGCCCTTCCCGGGGGGCCCCCCAGTACCCTCGGGGGGGGCCCCCCTGGACTTGGCCTTAAGCAAGAAGCAGCAGCAAGAGCCAGCCTGGCCAGGGGACATAATCCGTGAAGAAGTCCCGGCTCGCCAGCAGCAGCAGCAGCAGCAGCAGCAGCAGCAGCAGCAGCAGCAGCAGCAGCAGCAGCAGCAGCTGTGGCCTGGGTCCCCCTCTGACGCCACACCCCTCGCCTCTGCTGCTGCTGTTGATGGCCGCAGGTTCTCTTTTGGGGCCCCCCAAAGGGACCAGGGGCCCCCCGAGGGGCCCCTTAGCCCCAAGGGGGGCCCCCAGTACCCTCCCAGTTCTTGGAAGGGGCCCCAAGCACCCTTTTCTGCTTCCCAAGGGGACAAAACCAAGAGGGGCCCCTCCCCGCACAAGTACTCTCCCCGGGCCTCTCTGGGGGCCCCCGGGGGCCCCCCTGGGGGCCCCCCTGGGGGGCCCCCTGGGGGCCCCCCTATGGGGGCCTACGTGGGGGCCCCCCTGGGGGCCCCCGAGGGCCTCCAGCCTCTCGGGCCCTCCCCACAAGAACGCGCTGCTGCTGCTGCTGCGGGGGGCCCCTCTGCTGCTGCTGCGGGGGGCCCCTCTGCTGCTGCTGCGGGGGGCCCCCCTGCTGCTGCTGCTGCGGGGGCCCCTGCTGCTGCTGCTGCGGGGGCCCCCGACAGCGACCTTCTCGAGAAAGTCCACCAGCAGTTAGATGAAATGGCCTTCAACTTAAACCTCTCAGAGTTGTAGTCGAGGCCCCTTATTTAGGGGGCCCCCCTGGTCTGGGGGGCCCCCTTGACCACTGGCCTCGGGGGCCCCCCTGGTCTAGGGGGCCCCCCTGGTCTGGGGGCCCCCCCTGGTGACGGGGGTCCCCCTGGTCTAGGGGGCCCCCCTGGTCTGGGGGGCCCCCCTGGTCTGGGGGGCCCCCCTGGTCTGGGGGGCCCCCCTGGTAACGGGGGCCCCCCTGGTCTGGGGGGCCCCCGTGGTCTGGGGGGCCCCTCTAAATAAGGGGGCCCCCCCAATTAAGGGGGCCCCCGCAACTGCGCAGGGCCCCCTGGCTGGGGGCCCCCTAATAAAGGGGGCCCCTCAATAGTGCAGGGGCCCCTGGCGGGGGGCCCCCTGGGCACTTTACCCTACAAAATTGAAATGCTAATCTCGCTAAGGTGCGAGACCTCAGGGGGGCCCCCAGGACCCTTGGGGGCCCCTCTTTCTGCTGCTTTCTTTTGGGGGGTGCGGCGGGCCTAGGGCCTACAAAACGAAAGCCTGGGGGCCCCTGGGGGGCCCCTGGGGGGCCCCTGGGGGCCCCTGGGGGGCCCCTGGGGGCCCCCAGGGGCTTCTCTTTGGGGCCCCCGGGGGCCCTTAAGGGGCTTCAAGGAGACGGTGAAGAATACGAAAGGGCCCCTCAGACTTTTTGTGCAGCAAATGGGTTTAGAAAAAGTCTCAAGAGTAGAAAGGACTCTTCAGGCCTTTTGCAGTCTCCGTGTAGCTATCTAGCTAGCTAGCTAGCTAGCTAGCCTCCTAGCTAGCTGGCTACTGGCTAGCTAGCTAGCTACTGGCTAGCTAGCCAGCCTCCTAGCTAGCTAGCTACTGGCTAGCTAGCTACCTAGCTAGCTACTGGCTAGCTAGCTAGCTAGTTACTGGCTAGCTCGGTAGCTGGCTAGCTGCCAAGCTGCTTAGGGGTAGGAGTTGGTTGCTCATAGTTTAAGGCTATGGGCTTAGGGTTTAACTAGGGTTTAGAGCTTAGGGTCTGGGGCTTAGCTAGTAGTCGGGTTTGGGGTCTAGGGTTTAGCTAGGGTTTAGGGTTTAGGGTCTGGGGCCCAGCTAGTTAGGGTTTAGTGGAGGGAGAGAAAGAAAAGAACCTTTTTTGCTCGTTGGAATTGGAAATAAATTGCAGGTGAGTTTCCAGCGGATTGCTGAGGTGTATAGACAGCTCGGCGCTCGCGTTCAGGTGTCTGTGCAGCTCGTCAGAAGACCAGCGCCAATTTTCGAGTTTTTTTGCCATTTTAAGTAATTAAAAACATTTAAATGAAATATTATTCTCTTTTTGGTATTTAATTTGCCAAAAAACGGCCCGCTTTTGACCCTGGAGGCTTTGCTGCTGCTCACTTGCTGAGGTGTACGTACACCCGAGGGTCACTTCCGCTGCTGCTCCCACTTGGACTGTTCTTCCGCCTCTTTTCACTTCTTTTTCTTTTTATTTGTTTTATTCTTTTAATTTACAATAAAGTTTAATTTATTTCAGCGCGAGGAACTCTCTTGCGGGGCAGACACCACTGGTCAGTCAGCCCGGGGGGCTCTGTGGTTGATCGGCTCGCCGCCCCAAACCCTAAACCCTAAACCCTAAACCCTAAACCCTCGTCTGCACGCAATGCCAGCCTTGCCTTCTCTCCCCGAGGGCCTCGAGGGCCTCGAAACCCTGAGGGTTTCTGTTGCTGCTGCTGTCGGCAGCAGCTGCGTAGTGGAAGTCTCGCTGAATAGGCCGCAGCAGCTCAACTCTCTGGGGGCTTCTTTTTGCCGCGAGTTTCCCCTTTGCATGCGCGCACTGGACCACTGGTCACCTTGCTGCTGCGTGCTGCTGACTGCAGCGGGCCCGGCCTTCTGCTGCGGCGCAGAACCTGCTGCTGCTGCTGCTGCTGCTGCTGCTTCCACCTGCTGCAGCGCTGCTGCTGCAGCAGAGCCCCACTGGGAGCCAGCCAGCCCCTGGGGGAGGCCTGGGGGCGCCTCCTGCTGCGCAATCCCAACCCCACGCTGCGGCGCTGCGCAGCAGCAGCAGCAGCAGCAGCAGCAGCAGCAGCAGCAGCAGCTGGAGGCCGCGCTGAGCTGCCTCGAGCTGCTGCAGCAGCCCGTTGTTGCTGCTGTCTCGGGGCCCTGTGTGGGGGCGGGCCTAGAGCTGGTTTGCTGCTGCGACATTCGACTTGCTGCTGCTGATGCATTTTTCAGTGCGCAGGAGCTGCAACAGGGGGCCCCTGCTGCTGCTGCGCTGCTGCAGCGGCTGCTGCGCGCCTGCAGCAGCAGCAGCAGCAGCAGCAGCAGCAGCAGCTGGGCCCGCGAAGTCTGCTGCTCCGGCCGCTCCTTTGCTGCTGCTGAGGCCCAGCAAAGGGGATTTGTCTCTGCCATTTTTCCAGATAAAGAAACTCTTCTTGCTGCAGCAGGGGCCCTTTGTTTGTCTTTTGCTGCTGAGGGTCGGGGGGCCCCAGCAGCAGCAAAGGGGGCCCTGCAGCAGCCCCCTAGGGCCCCCCTTGCTGCTGCTGCTGCTGCTGCTGCTGCCCGCGCTGCTGCTGCTGCCGACGCTGCTGCTGCTGCTGCTGCAGAGGCTGCCGCTGCTGCTGCAGACGCTGCTGCTGCGCTGCAGCTCCCATACCTCCGCAGAACTCTCAAGCAGCAAACTCTGCAGCAGCAGCAGCAGCGCAGCAGCAAAGCCTTGGCACCCACCTTTGCCAAACTGTGAGAGGAAGCTGCTGCTGCTGCTGCTGCAGCAGCTACCGCACCTGCGTCCCTTGCAGCAGCAGCAGCAGCAGCAGCAGCAAGAGAAGCCTATCGGATGCAGCAGCCTCTTGACGCCTCGGCGAAGCGCGGAGGCGGCACATCTAAGGGAACTGCATACAGCAGCAGCAGCAGCAGCAGCAGCTGCAGCAGTCGCTGCAGCAGCAGCTGCAGCAGCAGAGACTGCAACGACATTTTAGCCACTTTTCCCTCCAAAAATGAGAGAGAAGCTCCGGGCGCCTGGCTAGCCAGCTAGCTAGATAGCCAGCTAGCTAGCCAGCTAGCTAGCCAGCTAGCTAGCCAGCTAGCTAGATATCCAGCTAGCTAGCCAGCTAGCTAGATAGCCAGCTAGCTAGCTGGAGGTTCGTTGGTGGTGCTGGGCAGCTAGCAACGAAGATACCAGGCTCATCAGATGGGTAGCTAGCCAGCTAGCTGTCTAGCTAGCTGGCTAGCTGGCTAGCTAGATAGATAGATAGCTAGCTAGCTGGCTGGCTAGTTAGCTAGCTAAGTAGCTTGCTAGCTAGCTGGGTAGTTAGCCAGCCGGGATGCTGGCTAGCTAGCTAGCTAGGCTGCTCGCTAGCCGCCTGCGTAGCTAGCTAGCCAGCTGGCCAGCTAGATAGTTAGTTGGCTAGCTAGCTAGCTAGCTAGCTAGCCGGCTAATTAGCTAGCTAGCCAGCTAGATAGTTAGTTGGCTAGCTAGCTAGCTAGCTAGCTAGCTAGCTAGCTAGCTGGCTGCGGCCGCCCCTCAGTAGGACTTGGAGACAAAAGTCCCGAGAGAGGGACTTGTATGGGACTTGGGCAGAAGAGACAAAAAGACAAAAGAGATAAAAAAGGAAAAAGAGACAAATGAGAAGCAAAAGAGATGTGCAGATGCCGGGCAGCAGCAGCAGCAGCAGCAGCAGCAGCTGCTGCTGCTGCTGCTGCTGCTGCTGCTGCTGCTGCGCTGCGCTGCGCCTCAAAATGATGTCTTAGGAAAAGCAAACTGGGGAGTCCCTACACCCACGAAATGGCCCAAGTGGGCCCTCTGGGGGCCCCCCCGGGGCCCCACAAGAGGCCTTTGTGAGGCCCCCTAAAAGGGTACTTAGGGGCCCCCACAGGGGCCCCCTTAGGGCCCCCCAAGGGGCCCCCATAGGGGCCCCCATAGGGGCCCCCTTAGGGGCCCCCATAGGGGCCCCCTGTGGGGCCGGCCCTCTATGATGCCCTCTATGGGGGCCCCGTGGGGCCCCCTGAGGCCCTCCTTGGGAACTTCTTTTGGGGCCCCTCAGGGGCCCCCCGTGGGGCCCCCTACGGGGGCCCCTGAGGGGCCCCCTACGGGGGCCCCTGAGGGGCCCCCTGTTGGGCCCCCTATGGGGGCCCCTGAGGGGCCCCCTGTGGGGCCCCTTATGGGGACCCCTGAGGGGCCCCCTGTGGGGCCCCTTATGGGGTCCCCTGAGGGGCCCCCTGTGGGGCCCCACAAGAGGCGGGGTTCTGTAGGGCCCCTTAAGAATCTTTGAAGGCTTAAGAAACTCCTCTAGACCCAAGAGGGCCCCACAGGGGGCCCCTATCTAGGGGGCCCCCCAAGGGGGCTCTTGTCTAGGGGGGCCCCCAAGGGGGCCCTGTCTAGGGGGCCCCCTTGGGGGCCCCTGTCTAGGGGGGCCCCCAAGTGGGTCCCTGTCTAGGAGGGCCCCCAAGGGTGCCCCTATCTAGGGGGGCCCCCAAGGGGGCCCCTATCTAGGGGGGCCCCACAGGGGCCCCCTATCTAGGGGGGCCCCCAAGGGGGTCCCTGTCTAGGGGGGCCCCCAAGGGGGCCCCTGTCTTGGGGGGCCCCCATGGGGGGCCCCCAAGGGGGGCCCCCCTCTGGCTTGCGTTGCTAGAAAGCCATTAAAGTTAAGGCGCAGCAGCAAAGGGGACAAAATCTGCAGCGGCTGCAGCACGAGGAGGGCCCTTATGAAGGAGTTGCTGCTGCGCTCGTAGTCGAAGTACAGGCACTCCAACTCCCGCGCTGCTGCTGCTGCTGCTGCTGCTGCTGCTGCTGCTGCTGCTGCTGCTGCTGCTGGAGTTGCTGCGGAAGAGGCAGCAGCAAGGGAGACGCAGCGAGGCAGCGAAGCCCTTATGAGTCCTCCCTGCGGCTGCTGCTGCTGCTGCTGCTGCTGGTCTCCTTCGGGGCCTGGCAACATGAAGTGCCACCGCTGCCTTTGCTGCTGCTGCTGCTGCTGCTGCTGCTGCTGCTGCTGCTGCTGCTGCTGCCTAACTAGCAATGCC